CTACCTAATGCATGTGATTAGCATTGAATTTAAGACTAGGTATGGGAGGCACAGCTGGTCTCACTCAAAAATATGACAGTAGAAAGATAAATGTAGTGTGTTCTGAATAATAGCTTAGCGTTCATATCACTCGTCCAAAAAATGGTCAGTCTTCAAATCTACAGTTGCTGCTTCCCAACATTCTTCTTTTACCACTAATCTGTAGTCTGGTAACACATCCTTCCTATTAAATCATGTGCATGACAGTGTAACAGTTGGTTGCTATGGAGAGAATAAGCTAGAGAAAGAACTGATGCTAACCCAGTGAGAGGAAGGTTGTCCTGGAAAGGGGGAAGAGGAGTCCTGGTTCCTTTTTTGGAGACAACTTCTGTGTTTTGTCTTAAATGATCAAATAAAACACATAAACAAGTGGAAGAGCAGGATCCAAACGAATGCTTCTGCCCTCCTTCCCCTTGCTCAAACTTAGGGCTTGTTGCATTGTGGGTATTCTGTACGTAAACAAATAGAAAGCTGAAGTATTTGAACATTTCTGATGGAGATTTCATCTAGACCCACTTTAATGATATCATAATCCTTTCTGTCATCATTGCCAATGACAGAGAAAAGGTGTGTATGAATGGAACAATACCAGATTTGTAACTGCACAATGCAGCCTTAGCACATGCTATATCATCTTTCTGTTTATAATCATATACATACATCTATACACACATTTGTATGTATACACACACATGCTTTTCTTCCCATTGTACATGTTATTTAATAATAAATATTCCTGGCCCAGGACAAGTTACACTTTAATGCGGTTGCATTTTCTGCAAACTGTTTGGTTACAAGTTAGTTGGTACAATACAAAATCAACCAAAGTAGGTCCCATCCCGTTCTGCTCCCTGCCGCCACCCTGTTCGGTATTAGGAGCTTCCAGAAAAGGTGTTGCAGAACAAGGTCTCTTAATTCTTCCTCTTGCATTCTCTGCCCTATGTCTGCCTTGTCCCTAGTAGTTTCAATGAAAGCTGATAGGCTTTCTTTAGGCAATTTGGGAGCAAGGGGATAAAAGCAAGTTCTGGCACCAGGTGTTTTCACAGAGCTTGCATCACTATTGGTGCTTATTTGTCACACAAGACAACGGAAATTGAAGGCCTCTACTCAAGCCAATCTGAGCAGTTTTAGATATTCCTTACCTTCCTTTCTCCCACATCTATAGTTGGAAGTTAGTACTCGCTGAAATGAAATCTGACTTGTACTTACCTTGCATCAATAAATCTGAGAAAAAAAGATTAAGTGTTCACTGGTATTTGCTAGGAAAAAGGTCATTTCATGAGGCATCTTCCTGCATTTTTCAATAACTATAGTACCCGCCTTTGTTTTCAAAGAAGTTCCCATGGCAGTGGTTAATAGTCTGAATCTGAGAACAGCAGCTGCAGGACTTGTTCAGAGATTACGAGTACAACTAGAGTTACTGTTGTGGGCCATATTTGGGTTATGCAAGGCAACCAGAAAAATTACTTAACCACTTAAGTTTCATATTTAGTTATAGGCATCCTCATGGTGTTCTGTATGAGAAACCCTGAGGTAATTAGCCAAAGTGGCAATACTTGGTTCTTCAAAAACCAAACAGACAAAAAAATCCACCCACCCACTTCCTAGGTCATCTGAAGTTCTCATGAAACTGTAGGTCCTGCCAAGAGCTGTGATTAGTAGTTCCTAGGCTTAAAGGTAAGAAATTGCATGTTCTGGACAAGAAATGCTTAAGTGCTCAGTTTGAATTGAATACTGGTACACTGGGCAAGAGAGGAAGGCCAAGTAATGAAAGAGCAGAAAGTGGTTGTCTTGAAAAAGGCCAAGAGTATGGTTATTTAGATTATTTTTACACATCTTTCAGAAATGATGCAACAGAAGTAGTATGTATTCTGCTCCACTGTGTATCATTACATGGAGCTAAATAGAGGAACACAAAGTTCATTTTGCTACTCATCTGGCTTAGTGCAAACTGTTGCTTTTAATTCTGACACAAAATATTGAGTACTATTTCTATACCGGATTTTTAAGCAGTCTTTACTGAGGCTTTACACTGCTGTAGAGCTTCATTTTACATAGTGCAATGCAAAAACACAGTTAACTGGAAGCTTTTTACTTGAAACACAGACAAAAATGCGATTGCTGTAGTTCTTGAGGAAAGCAAGAACAAAACTTAGCAGCCTGCTAGATATCTTGTATAACTATCATTGAATCAGCAGGGTTTTAAATTCTGTAGTAGAAACCTGTCAGTGCTATAGTTTCCTCTTCCAATAGTTCTACAAAGGCTGTCTCTGAAGTCTTAGATACCTTGTGTAGTTGTGTAGGCTGAAATCCCTCTCCCTCTTACCAAAGTGTATACAGACTCTTGATCATCTGTAGCTCTCACTGAACAGGGAAGCAAGAACTAGAGATGGAGAGAAATATCTGTGCTCCCTCTGAAAACCTTGTTTTTGTTGGGAGTGTCATATGGTTTGAGTACTAGGCACCTCTAAATACAGGTGTTATGACTTGTGGAGACTTCCCTGCTGTAGTTTTTCACTTCTGCTTTCTTTGCTTGTATCTACCTGATAATATCTACTAGGATCTAGAAGTGACTTCTTGTGGATGAGCTTCAGTGTTGAGTGTTCTGCCCACTGGCATCCCTCTAATCGTATTCTGATTTTCCTCTCAGCTTCTCTTGGAACCGTGACTTAATTCCAGTTAATTCTTTAATTATCTGCAAAATTAACTCATGTTCTGAACAACAGACTTTGTATTAGCATTTTGGCTCTTTTTGCTATCGTAATGTTTCCATCTTAGGCGCATGTATATCTCTGATCTTTTTTGCCCAAGAGTACCTGAAATTCACTATTAAAGTAATCCTAGTTTGACTGGTTTGTCAGTCAGTTTTTGCCTCTCCAGCCTCACTTTCCCTTGAGTCAATACATTAAATGAATAAGGTTTTTTCTTATTTCCCCTTCCCATGGTGTGTCAGATTCATTCGCTTCATCTTTGCTTTCTTGGTGCTCTTGTTAATTAGTATCCTCCTATCTAACAGCTCTTTCTGAGCCATTGGTTCATAAAATGGGCAGGTTTCTTTCCTTTTTCTGTAAGAGAATGCCTACACATTCTTCCCAGTGCATTTATCAGTCCTGAAAATAACAAAACAATTGCCATACTTTGAAGAGTATGCATTTAAAAATCCTCTGTTGAGTTAAGGTGATCTTTCCAGTGAAAAGAGGAATTGACTGAATGTCAATAAGGAAAAACGAATGCTAGACCAAGTGCATACGCTGATATTACTTTGAATCTAATCCTTAAGTGTTCATTTGTGATTAGAATTGCTGTAATTTAATTTAGAGTAGAGGAAATATTTATAAAAGCACAAAAGAACTGCATTTGTGTTACAGTCAGTGAGGCACGCTGCTAACTGTCCTTGGCAGCTCTGAAAAATCTTCAATTCCTTTAGGATGCCTGATGGTGTGATGTGAAATATGTGAAGCCAGAAAAGGGGCATGTACAGTAGTCCTTGAAATGTCATGTCTTAATATAGATCAGTCTTAATGCTAGGAATAATTCAAAATTATTTGTACTATTTAAAAAAAGAAAAAAGAGATTGGGACTGTGCATGATTTGTAATATGGAGCTTGCAACTCTGTTCTACCAGTGATTCCAGAACTTGCATTAGTAAAAGTTAGGACTGTTAATTGCTACAATTTCTAGTATGTTTCCAGAGTTGGAGACCACTGAAGAATCAGATGTTTTCAAGCGAGGTAGATCAAGTCACTGTTTTCAAATGTTGCATTAAATATGTTGAGTAGATTAAGTCGTAACATTCAAATTAATGCTTCTGTATAATTTGTCTGAGGAACCTAAGCTTGATACATTTCTTCTCTTTGAGGTTATGATGTCTGTTCATTTATTTTCTTGTGATTGGTCTTCTAGGCAATCATTTGGTATGATCTTAAGCTTTTAATCTCTAATGCTTCAGGCTTACTGCAGCATGATTAAACTAAAATTGTGTTTTGACAGGTCTGTGACTGGAGAAACCGTAAGAGCAAGTCTGACTTCTAATCCTCTGGGAGTTGTGAACTTAATCACTAGTAATGGCCTATAAATTTTTGCTGGCCTATAGATTTTTGCATTTCTCCTTTTTCACAGTACAGTTACGTTTCTGTTTGCATGGGTTTGCCTTCAACAGTGAGATTCCTTCTTCCCCAAAGTGAACGGGCTGATTTCTTAAGACATGTGAATAATAAAGATTATACAAGACAAGCAAGATCCCTAAGGGGAGAGCACAGGAGCTTTCAGTGACTTGCATCCATTTGCTGTTTCTTCCCTAACTGCTTGCTTTTGTACTTTTTTTTTCTAGTAGACAATAGAAAAAGTATTGCATTTGCACTGATTGTTTCTAAGAATTACAGCTATTAGTACTTGTGGATATTGTTACTTATGTTATAATTATGTTACTTATACCCTTCAAATAGGGTGGTTTAGTTTTGTTCTTTTTTTCAACTTTTTGTCTAGATTGCTTCAAGGTAGAACTTTGATCCTTGGGTTTCATCAGGCTTTGCCTTTTTATAAAGATATTCTAGGGAGATGGGATATGTTCCAAAATACGTTTTGGTTTTTTAATAAGGTCTAGAAGCATAAAAAACTTAGTGCTTTTTGAAAACATTTAGGAACTGCTCAGAGAAACCGTATTTAGAGCATTTAACAGCTGACCTCTGTCTTGAAAGGGTTTTATATCCTGTATTCATTATCATGAATGAATATCTAAATGTGACTTCTGGTTGCAAATTTGCAAGGTTAAAATAGCATTGAATTGCAAAAAGTCGTCTTAAGCTTTTCTTGCAAAAAGCAGTTTTACCTTGTAGTGACTTACTGATCAGCTGCTGCCTTATTTAAGCCATAGAAAGGTGTAATATAAAGGCAGAGAGAGACTTTGGTAGACGAGCTGAAAGTAGAATAGAATGATTTATTTTCATGTGATTGTTTTACAGGTTGAAAATTGGTGTCCTCGTTTACCTTGGAGAGCAAAAAATCCTGATGAAGAAACTGATCAAAAAACAGTGGTAAGAACAACGTTAAAACATGAGAAATAATTCAGTAATTGTGACTCATGGAAAACATTCTGGAGTCCTGTGCCACAGAAATGCTAATAAGACCAGAATTTACCATTTTTATTCCTCAGCTCCTCAAAACTGAAGGGAAACATCCTTGACTGTGTGTATGTACCTCATCATGTATTTTCTCCAGTCATTGTACTGCACTGCAGTCTTGGTGGTAGATTTCCACTAAAAACATTTTTGTGTTTAAATTTATGAAATACCTTATACAGATGCTGAGAAAAATTACAAATCCATAGACTGTTCACCAGTGTTAACTGACCATATGTGAAACTGTCCATTTTTATTGTCCTGTAAATCTGGGCCTTATATATAAAAATGCCTTAATGGAAGAGGCTTATATACATTTCACTTTTGTAGTAACTTTTTGATTACTCCTAATTTTTTTCCCTTAAAAACTGTACAGCATGCAGAGTTGTTTCTAAACTGTTATAGCCTAATTACGTAGCACTTAGGTATTTTAAGATAATTGCCAGGCTGTATATGAACATTGCTTGCATAATTTAGATATAGGCTGTCTCATTTTGTAAAACCAATTGTTCTTAGATTGGTGTAGCTTTAAAATAAATATTTCCTTTAAAATTTATACTATAGTAATGTTTCCTCCTTCATGGTATAATAGGAGACTTCCTTGTATTTGGAAGATTTGTGATATACATGAATCTTCAGCGTACTGTTCTGGTTCTATATTGTGTTTTAGAGATACTTTAACCTCATTTTGAAGCACGTGAACAAAACCAAATCTTATATTGCAGAAATAAATACATTGTGGACCATTGCCAACATATTCTGAAGCTACCAAGTACTACTAATAAAAATAACAGTAATTTATGTGGCTTAGAAATGTCTGTTTAAAGTTATCTTAAATATTTGAACTAAAATCTCGATTTGACTTTAGCGTTAGGAGCGTATCTTTTTTCTTTTTTTTTTTTTCTTCTTGAGGAATGTAAAGCACAGAGTTCACATTTGACAACTTTTTTCACTTCTGGAAAGTACAGTATGTGAAGAATAACTAATGTTTTGGGGTTTTTTAATGCTTTAATTGAAGGCTGAAATTCGTATCAACTTTGATAATCTCTACAAAATGATGTCAAGACATGAGGAATTCAGGTGGATGATGTTACGCATCAGACGAATGGCTGATACCTGGATTGAAGCAATTAAATCACTTGCAGAAAAACAAAATTTGGAGAAGAGAAAACGAAAAAAGGTAAATAAAAACTTTTTTCATTCCTGCTACTTGCAGTTATATAGGCTCTTTTAAGCTTCTTGTTCCAGAATTAACTTCAGAGTGGAAATACCAAATATGTCTAAAAGGCTTGTGTTTATACTTGTACCTCTTTCAAGAAGTACCTCACTGCTTGAAATTACTGTTACAATGCATATTTGCTTTACAAATACTTTTACATCTTTCCATGAGTCAATCTTTGAGTAAGTTTTCTAATCTCCTTAATTTTGAATAAAATAGAGACTATGTAGAAGCTTCTAAAGGGAGAAACTGTGAATTTACTGCAAACCGATGGCACTGGATTGTTTTACGTAGTCGTAGAAAACAACAATTGTGTATCTTCTTTGTCCAAAATTGAGACGTTAAATGGTGTATTTCTGTTTTGGATTTGAGTAGACTTAAAGTTGACCACAACTTTGGATGGGATCAGTTTAGACCTCCTGTAAGGAGTTCAATTTAAAAACTGTGAGGTTGTTGAAGTGAAAAGTTCTATTTTATTTTACTTTTTTTTTTTTTCCCCAATTACCTCAACTAGTTAAGATAAAGCCAAAAGTTGTGAACACAACAACGGTTTCCCTTCCTGCCTTATTCTTATGGGAGCCAGTCCTGGTTGACAGCAGGCCATGCACAGCCATGTTTCTACCCTCTCTTAAGCCTGGCTGGCTGCAACTCAGCTCCTTGCTTGAGATTCTCAGTCCTCGCATGAGGTGTAGGCTCCATGTTGCGGCTCTAATGTTTGTCACATACTACAGCCCTTGGAGTAGGCTCACCCTCTGTCAAGGAGCAACCCGTCTCTTTCAAGCAGCCCTCCAGCCTGGTTTATTAAAGAAATACAACATATGAGAATACATAAACTCAAGGATAAACAAAAGCAGTACTGTCCTGCACAGGCACTTTATGTGGGATGCTCTAGTGCTTATTCTTTGCTTATAAAACTCCTTTGAGGTTGCTCTGTAAAACATATGGTGATTTCATTTTAATATGTCCAGTTCAGTTCTGGGAGCTGCAAGAGATTAGAACAAGGTTTGTTGTTTTTTTTTTTAATGTTGCTTCTTTTTAAAGAGTGAGGGAAAAGGATTTTGTGTGTTTGGGAGTTTTTATGTTTGGCACTGTATGTATCCAGCACTCAAATAACAGTCCAGGTATGTAGCGAAGTGTTTGGAACTCAGCTTCTGTGCTTTGTTAGAAAGGCAAGCACAGATTTCAAGGAACTACAGAGAAAACTCTCCTCCAGTGGCAATGGAGAGGAGAGTTTGGGAAAGCATCCTGTTACTCTTCTGCCGTCTTTCCAAGTTCTTAATGGGTTGTTCACAACAGCATACCCTTCCTTAAGTATACTGTCTTGTGTAAGCAAGTATATCCTACTTGAGAATAGAAGTTGTTATTCAATGAAAATAAGTTAATGTGAGCCACAACTTTCTGTGCAGAATTACAGATTATTTTGTGAATAACACCAATTTGGGGGGTTTGTTTAATTACTGATCCGGTGGCAGATAATAGTGCCAAACAATGCGGTGACATAATTACTGTTCTGGAGATCCATTACAAAATTAGATTATTGGGGTGGGAGTATTGGATTTTTTTTCGTTGATTTTTTTTGGCCATAGTTGGAATTTAATAGAAAGAAAAAATGTTGTGAGGTATTCTAGTTGCATGTTTAATGTCGATAACTCTAACATATGACTTTCCTTTCCAGATTCTTGTTCATCTGGGGCTTTTGACAAAAGAATCTGGATTCAAGATTGCAGAAAATGCGTTTAGTGGTGGCCCACTTGGTGAATTAGTCCAGTGGAGTGATTTAATTACATCTCTCTACTTACTGGGCCATGACATCAGGATTTCAGCTTCACTGGCAGAGCTCAAGGAGTAAGGAGATTACTTTCACTTTTGAAACTGGAACACAAAAAAAATGAATTGTAAACTCTTGAAGCTTCTATTAACAGTATATAATTTCTTGAAGCATAAAATGAAAGTGATAATTCACTAAACAGACAATAAGATTATTTTCATGAGCTAAGTATATGTGCCATGAAAAGCATAATGTGTTTTCATTGTAGCTGCAGGCTCCTGAGACTTCATAAATGAATGTTGTAAAATTCAAACTACGCAGCTTATTCTTTAGCATTCCAGGTGCTTTAACCACCTGCAATAGGAAATGTTACAGACTAGCCTAATTCGGTATCCTCTTCTTCAGTTTCTGCTATTCTTCATTGAGTATCTGATTTTAAAATAAAGGTTTAAAGCCTTTAAACACATTACTTTTGATGTAGTTAATTGCTTATGTTAGGTCAAATTGCTAGCTACCTCACTCATCTTTGTCTTGCTTTGCATACTAGTTCAACATTAGGCATAAAACATCTGTTGTAAGCTTGAGCACATACGCTTTTTCTGTAGCTTTCACGTTTTTATAACAAACATGACAGCATCATTTTATAGAGAGCTCTTAGGCTATAAAGCTGTCGATGGAAGACAGAAATTATTTCAAATAATTTCAAAGCTCACTATTTTTAAACATTCCAACCATATTACTCTCTTGTTTAAACTAGATGAGGTTTTTAGTGAAAATTAGCACTTTACTGATGTATAAACAGTTCTTTAATAAATGCTGAACATCTTTAGCATTTGAATGTTCTTACATGGTTCCTGATTTGGAAAAGCCTTTGGAGAAGACTTTTTTGGAAAGAGGAATTATTGGTATAAATAGTGTTACAACATCTGTTCAGGGTGTTTGGAAAGTAATACTTTCCCATATTCCTTCTTTCTTTCTTTAGGATTATGAAGAAGGTTGTAGGTAACAGATCTGGCTGCCCTACCCAGGGGGATAAAGTTGTAGAACTCATTTACATTGATATCGTGGGACTTACTCAGTTTAAGAAAACCCTTGGTCCATCATGGGTACATTACCAGTAAGTATAACACTTATTTGACCTCTTAACTGCTTTGTTAAAGAGCTTTTGTTGAATAGCACGTGTCAAAACACTCAGGTGAGTACATCCATATGAATTTGAAAGTAAAAATGTGGTTCTCTGTTGTCTTTCACTCTTAGGAATAAAGGAGCTATTACCTGTTTGTTGCATACTGTCTTTATCCCCCCAGCAAGTTTGGGGTTCTTGGATTCAAGCATTTTTAATCTTAATGAATTGTATTGTCTTGTTGAGTCATCTGTGCCTTTCTTTCCCTCCTGTCTTTACACCACCCCCCTCTTTTGTTCTGTAAATTAGTAGTTGAGCTGAGAGATTATTGGATTTTGTAGTTTAGTTGGAATACCAAAGGCATGTTTTGCTTGCCAGTGTTTGTAGCCATACTAGATTGATGATTGTGGAGATTTATCTATTCTAATTATATTGCCTGACAACAGCAATGCAATTTTTTCTGGTCCAGCCCTTAAGACACTGGGCAGAAAGTTGTCTTCAGGGGTAGGTCTAAAAAATAAACCTGCTGGTAACAGCAGTTGTTGTTGCTTCTGTAATCTATAAACATCTTTCCATTAGAAATGGAAGATGGAGGTCACAAGAAATTACTTTGTACAGGCTTCTTAGTGTCTGCAGTTTTAGAACCACGTTTCTTTTTGTCAATAACTTTAAATCAGCAAGCATCCCATGTGTTGTACGAATACATATCAGCATGAAATAAAACCAAATTAATTTATTGACTTTGATTTTTCCATACCTAATCGAATTGGCTGTGTTTCATGACCTGTAAAGTCCAGTAAACCCTCCTTGAAGGAGGGTGTTAAAAGGCGTTCGCTGCAGGCAGAAAAATGTTTTCTCTCTACCTCAGGATTTTCTAGAGCATTGGATCTTTTCAGTGTAATTTTAAATGAGAGCACTGTGATCAACATTGCAGATTAGCTTACTCTTAATCTCTTTTTTGAAGCAGAGGAGTAAACAGACACTCTATTTTTTAGGAGCCTGCTAATAAAGATAATCCCATTTTCCACTGAGCTACAGTTGTCTGTCTGCCAGATGTAATTGTCACTAGGCGACCACATACAGTATTGCGGTCAGGATATAAAACCATACTTATAAATTTAAAATGTTTCTTCCCTGTTGCTTTCAATTTCTTATTTGGTATATTCTGTAACAAAGGTATGGAGCTACACTATAACATAGAGATTATTAGATTAGCTCTTAAATTTTTCTTGCTTATTTCATGAATCATTAAATCTTTAGTTGTCAACCTGTTTTTCATTGATTCCTGATTTGTGGCAATGACTGACTTTTTCTGGTTTAGGATAGTAGAATTAAATTTAACTCTAAATAAATACCTTAGGGTAGTATAGGAGTTTTTGTTAGACTTTTGAAGAAGAAAAAAATTACTTAATGCCTCTCTTCTACAACATTGGATTTCATGGGATGGAAGAGGACCCCGTCTAGTCCATACCCTTGCTGAAAAGTAGATCGGATGTATTTGTCCTTCTTGAGAGATTTTTGCCTAATCTTTTACTGAAGACTCCAAAAGATGCCCCAGCCATTGTTTTACATTGTTAAGCTTTTGTTTAAAGTGTTTTTCTTGCCCTGATTTCTTGCAAACTGCCCATTACTGCTTATTCTAATACAGTTTTGGGGAATAAATTACTTCCTTCCCCTCTCTGCCAGCCTCTAGAACATCTTATATACTGCTTTTCCTTCAATTTGCTTTTCTTCAAAATAAATTCAGGGGTTTGGATCATAACTTATAATTCAGGTTTTGTAGACCTTTCATCAAACTTGTTGCATTTGTTGGGAATCTCTCTAATTACTTGATACTGTTCTTCAAGTTCAGTGTACAAAACGGGGTCCAGAGTCTAGCAGAGACTACCATAATTGATTAGAGCAGAGGAATTAATTCATTATTTCATGCAAGCTATCTCCTATTTGAGGATCCTCTTACAATCTTTTTTTTCTCTCAACATAAGTTACCTCATAAATTTTGTCATCAAAATATTTTTAAGTTAAAACTGGTAAGTCCAGTGTTAAGAGCATAATTATATGTCTTTGTTTAATTCATTCCAGTAAAATAAACATTATCACAAATAAAGCTGCTTTAGAGCCCTCGTTCTTTACAAACTTTGCTCTCTCACTTAGTTGTAGGTAATGTCAGTAGGAATAATTCTTTGTCTTGAAAGAAGGGGTTTGATTTATGCCATATAGTTTTTCAGCAGACATGCTGGTCTGCTCAGTCTGGTGTATGCACACCAGCCTCAAATACAAATAAAAACTTGTTTATTCACTTCAGATTGCAATAGAGTGATAGAATACACCTACGCCTTCAGAACAATCTCTTGATAAGAGTGCCATTTATAATCTTTGTGAGTGAACTTGAGCCCTGAGGAAATTTTTGGTAATTGCAAATCAGGTTTCTAGAACTGCTAGCTCAAAAGCATGACCCTGCTGCTCTGAGAGGTGAGTATTTCTGAACAACTGAAATACTGTTTTGTATGTCTGAGATCTGTAGCACCAATGACTCTTGGTAGTATGTGCTTTACCTGTGGTATAATTGGTGCTGTAAATAGCATGAATATAGCAAAACAAATCTTATTTTTGGGTGCACCTTATTTTCAATCAGAAGAATGCTTGGCCATGCTTTATTTTTCAGTTCTGAAGTCTGGATATTTTAATGCCGTTTATGTGCAATGAAGCGACATAAAAATTAGTAGCTTAATATAGTTTGAAGAGTGCAGCTCATTGCCTTTCTTAGCACCCGCATCCTCCATACAGCACATAAGAATCTGGTACTTTTTCTTTTTTCTACAGTCTCTCTAGCAATGACTCATTCCCATATGCCAAAAATCCAACTGGCTTTATTCTTGAAATAAATTAACATGACAGCTATCCTGAAAAATGAGCAACATTCCCACTTCTTACATGTTCTCTAGAATGCATCTGCTTTAGGAGGGTTATTTTCTGACTTAAGTTTTTACATTTTAAATGCAAGTACTGAGTGACCTGAAAGTTAATGTGTGTCTCTGCAAGGATATCTATAGGCAGGTATGAGCTTCTCATGATCTGAGCTGGCTGGACATAAGCCAAAACAGTCTGGAGTCTGTGTATCTGTGCTGGCACCTTGCTGTGCCTGAACTCAATGCACCTACAAAGCTTCCAAACCAGAACTGCTTGGGTTTTGACCAGCTTGCTCCCAGGAAGATGTCTGCAGCCACTGGTGTGTATGTACCCTTTATTGAACAGTTTGTGCTGGCATAGGTACTAGTTGCTGACATTGGTGGGTGCTGCTGGACAGCGTTGCTCGTGTAGACAAAGATGATGTAAGTAGAGTAAAATTATAACCTCAGGTGGGAGAAGGGAATGGATAAATATGTATAAATACTTCCACTAGGACAGCCTAGTTAAGACTGTGCTTACGCCCAGTATTTAAGGAAAAACAGTCACTTTCAAAATGGTCATAATCCTGGGTTGCTTTTGTCTAAATTTTTTTTATAAGCCCCAAAATTGTCACTTCTAGTATCTTAGAAGACGACTTTAATACGGATGTTTCTATAAGCAGTTTGCTACCCACCAATCTTCCTTTTAATTAGTTATTGAATAGACTAATCAGTCTGACACCAATTCCAAGGCATGCTGTAATTCTCTGCAACTTCCTGCTAAAGCTAGGTGACACTTTAGGAAGGAGGGGGCAACTGAGTGAAAAACTACAGTTAAAATCATACTGAATTAACATTTTTATTTAAAATATATCCCTGCTTTAAAAAAAAAACTGTTTTGCCATTTTCAAAATTAATTATTTGACTTCAGAAATGCTAAAACATTATATGTAAAATCAAAATTTTGTTTAAAAATAGTTCAATTGAAAGAAATTTAAACCACTAAGTGAAACAAATGGAGAATATGGTACTTGGTCAGACAATTGAGGCGCTCCTACATATGTTAAAAGATCAGTTCAGCATAAATGGCATTATTTACATCATTCCTAAATTTTAAATCTTTACTTTACAAGTTCTTTTTCTGCTGCATTTCAAGGATTAGGTTCACCACTTGAACCTTTGATCTCTCATACCATTTCTGCACTTGTACTTTCTGCTGTAATCTTTCTCTCTCCTCATTCTGACTTTCTTTACGCCTGAATCAAATATATTTTGTTTTCCCTGCTTCCTGGTTTAGCTGTTTCCGTTGCATCACATTTCCTGTCTTGCTTCAGAGACCCCATGTGTATTGGACATAGTTACACATATCCCTATGAACAGTTAGTGCTACATACCTTACATCTGAATACAGGAAAAAGAGAGGAAACGAAGCACTTAGAGATGATCACATGCGATGTAGTGCTCCTTACATGTATCATTTGACAAACTCCAGTAACGTTGCAGTTTTTCAGTAGCTTTCACCCATTTTTCATTCCCCTGCACTCAAGTACCTGGCCAAAAGCTGTATACTTGATAAGAATTTTGTTTTAAGGCCTGCCAAGAAATAAGAGGGCTTTTATTACTGAATGATTCATCAGCGCAGAAGTTGTTTTGGTCCTGCTGGAGTATTTTGTATGCTGCAGAGATAATTGCCACTGTTGTAAAATATTTTCATTGAGAACAGTTGACATAAAACACTGCACAGAAACTGATCTGTCAGCTTTGTTGTTTGGTGAATCATAATGTGTTGTATATTTTTACTTTCTTTTTGCTTGAAAGATCTCTGAAGATTAAAAAAAAAGGAAATTTATTCTATTTGTACTTTCAAATACAAAGGTGGCATTTCATATGAGAGTTTAAAAGTTTTTTCTATTTCCCAATTTAATGGATACTTCAGAGAAAGTAGCAACATATAAGAAATATGTAAATCTATTTTTGGGACTACATTCTTTCATCTTTTAAAGCTGAAAAATAGTTGGAGCTAAGTTCTTTCACCTTTTGGGGTCTAAATTCTTTCATATTTTAAAGCCAAAATCCTGGTGGTTTACTGAACAGGATGTATATGGGCTTGGAGCATGGGAAATGTTGGAAGACTGGGAAATATAACTATTTTTAATAGTAACTTTTGCAGCTACCTCCATTCTCTGCCAGCTGTGAGGTTGTGTCTCTTCCTTAGCACACGCAAGCCCAGTGATACAACGTGCGGTGATAAGAGTTCATGTCTTTATAACATAGTGGCACATGATGTAGGGACACATCCAATATAAGTCTTTTCTGAAAATTTTGTTTGTGGAGGGCTAAAGAATGGCAAGGTCAGCGGCTTTGGAGCCATATAATCCAATTCATTTGCAGTGGAGCCAGTGGTCAGTATGACAGCCATAAAGTTCCTGTCCAAGCCATATCAAAGGTTTGGCAGGGTGCATTTTGGAAGCGTAAGTTCTAGAATCTGTATGCTGGAATATGTACCCTCTTCTTCATACTGAGACTTTTTCTGCCTTTCATGTACTGTGGGCCCTTTTTTTGAAAGGAGCCACTCATAAATGAAGTAATTTTTTTTCAAGGAGTTAATAGGAGTTTAAATAAAGGACTAAGTGTGATTCTCTCATCCCAGATCCTTTGTAATCCAGTGCCAATGTTTCTCTCAGTTGTAGACTGGTTGTTGAAGACATTTGACTTTTATATTGTTTCTTCAAAAGTCTGTGACAAAATGTTTCATAAACAAATAAATGGTCTGTCTGACTGCAAGCATTCAGCAAATTAAACTGTCTTCAGTGCTTCTCCAGTAGGTCTAATTGACCCAAAAGTCAGAACGTGGAGACTAAATACAATTGTCTAAAGACAAAGTACTATGCTGTTCTGATCTTCTTGGCGTGTGGCCCTTGGCTGTTGCGTTGATTTTGTAGTAATGGGTGAGAACATTAGAAAATAGATGAAGAATCCTCTCTTCTTCTGCCTAAATTCTACTTCAGAGCCTTAGGAATGTAGGTGACCACAGTAACATTCTCATAAGCTCTACTTGGATGTTAAAGCATAACTTCATTCTGTAAGAACAAAGAAACCCAAAATAAGCTCCGGGGTTGCTATTTGAATGTCTGATATATCCTTGAATTTGCTGATCTTAATGTCTTTGTGAATGTAGTATGAACAGAAATGTTTGAAATTAAAATGTAGCTTCAGTTTATAAATAATCCACAGTTGCAAACAAAACCAAAACACATCATCTTAATTACCATAACTATGTATATATACACACATGCTTATATATACACATATGCATGTGTACCTATGGTAAATTTTTTTTTTTTCCTTTTAGGTGTATGCTAAGAGTTTTGGATTCCTTTGGAACTGAACCAGAGTTTAACCATGCCCATTATGCCCAGTCTAAAGGCCACAAGACACCATGGGGAAAGTGGAACCTTAATCCACAGCAGTTTTATACAATGTTCCGTAAGTATTCCTGTGTTTAAAAATAATTTGGAGCTTTAAAACGGAATGCTGTCATTGAGAAGAATTTTTGTGGTATGAAAGACAAGTTCATGGTTTAATAAAATGCAGCTGCTAAATAGGCAGAATCGTTAAGCGTTGATAAGTGTTCGTAGACTATGCAAAAGCTCTATCGTGCTTCCATCCAGCGATTAGAAAATAGCAATCTCAATATAAATAATGGTAGGGAACTGTATTCTCAGGGTACCTGTGGAAAGTGGTGATTGGCTTTTCCTTCAAGTGTCAGTGAGTTTGGCTTTGTTAGTTTTGCCTTCTCAAATCCTGCTATGAAGCGATAGGTTTCTGAGGAACTTGCTAGATTGCATTTTTATAAACTGCACTCTTGCATTTCATCATGTTAAACTGAAGTTTGTAGCTATGTTGTTGTATTTCTGCTTTTTTCCCCCTCAAGAACTGAGCAGCACAATTCCTTCGTGATTTCTTTGCCTTCAAGATTAATAAACTAGCACTTGGCAAAAATAATTTTTTTTCTCTGTTTTTTTGTGGATTTCTCAAAATTTTCACCTAGCTTGTTTTCATGTTGTGAGCATTCATCCTGAGGTGAACTGATTCACATTTTTTTACCAGCAGTGTACAAAGCTATTGAAAAACAAGTAGTAGATTTCAGCATTGTTGTAGATCTTTGAAACATTGTTAAATATCTTTAAAAAAAAAAAAAAACCACAAACGAAAAAAAGTATGAATTCTGTATAAATTGGGTCAGATTAAATGGTCACAGTGACCTGCTCCAGCCCTAGTCTTTGACTTTATGGCCCTAGGTTCTAGAATCAAAGGATCTTTCTCTTTTGCGTGCTTTAGTAGTGTTCAAGTTTATCTCTGAAAGGTGCAGAAAGATTGACCACTGCCAGCTGGCTTGAGGGTAAGTGAGGCTTAAGAAAGAGAAGAGTGCATGCTGTTGTGTGCAACAACTTCTCAGCCCAGGTCTGTAAAGAAACACTTGCTAGCGACCGGCCTGACCTCCAAAGTTTGGTGGTCCCTGTCTGAGCCTAAGGCCAGGGCATGCACTGTTCTCTCACATCACACTTCATAGTCAAGTCTTTCAAACTTTCCTGCTTTTCTTAGCAGAACTATGCATGCTGCTGTCTGGTTGACATGCTTTTGATTTCAGTTGCCCTCTAAAATTCTTGAGAGAGGCATATTTTGTCTGTCAACATTTGCTGTGCAAGTTTTTCCAGAGAAATATAAGTGAAGGTTGTTCGAAAGATAGAAGACTGCATTCACAGTTGTTTCAAAGCAAGTAACAAAACGCGTGGTGGGGAAATGTGACTTGGAAGTGGTTGCAGAGTTTGTGTCTGGACATTAGTAAGCAGAGCTTGTTCTGTATCCACGTGACTTGCTAATATTTATTGGTTTATGTCCTAAATGGAAGAGGAGCTGAAAGCTCAATCATACTGTATTTAAGTGATCCAGCTGTTGGGAAATTTGTGTGTGAGGTCCTGTTCAAGATAGCACCAAGGGCAGTGAGGCACTTGAGGAAAATAGTTGTGTGAATACTTGTGGTACAGCTGTGTGTGTGCACTCCTCAATCCCACTCCATGAAATGCAGAAGAAAGTACATCTTCTCTGTTGTGGCAGTATAGACTACTGTTACAGTCTCTTGTTTGGAGCAAATCACTTCGTAATGAGTTTTCAGAAGAGTATGAGTCTATTGGAATTTCAATAAATAACCATTTCCAATTTTTACTACTGGAAGTGACTGCGGGTTTTCCTTTGCAGGAAAAGTGGTAAAAAGATTGCAAGCAAACTCATTCTGAAGCATGAGTGATTCCAGTGCTACCCATTATTCAAGGATTTTGCTTCTTTTTGTACGAGGTGCAGAAGAGTCAGTGCTCTGTGATACTTAAAGTTTATTTTTGTTTTTAGTTCTCTGCTGCAGAGATAGCACCATCTTTATGGGGTTGTGATTAAAAGTGCATGTTATGCATCAGTAAAGATTTTATGACAGATTGGAACCCTGGACAGCTTCCCAAGATCCCCAGACTCTATTATGTTTTGAGAACTCTGATTATAAGGGCAGAAAATTATTACTGAGAAACAAGCAAGCCATATTCAAACCTGTGGCATATTACCAAATGCTTGACTGTTCTCTGAGCTTTCCAGAAGCATGAGGGGTTTTTTCCCCCTTTTTATGTTTTTTATTTAGATTCTTTTCTGCAAAATAACAGCACTGGTACTTTTAAAACTGCATGATCTTGCTTAAAAATCCATCTGAGTGCTTCCTGTCAGTGATGTTTGAGGCACTGAATTCCACCAGTTTGAAGTGCTAACTTTAACAAAGGTTTATTTTTCATTTGAGTGTGTACTGCCTTGCCTTTCCTTTGAATGCAGTCTCTCATCCAAAAATATGAAAGGATGGAAAAATGCCCCTTTTCAGGCATATTTGCAATGTGCCATTTGCTACGCTAAATGCTAAAAAGTCCTTGGTGAGTGCCTAGCTGTTGCTGAGGCATTTTTTGTGAAAAAGAGTAATTGTCATTTGAAAGACGAAATGTAATGGCAGAGGGAAGTGTACACTGTGTATGGTTTCTCTGTAATACTGCATTATCCAGTTGGCTGATTTTCAGGAAGCAAATAGCAAAATACATATAATACTTATATATAAATATAATTGCAATTTTTTTTTTTTTTTCTCCTAGAACTCTGACCATAGGTTTAGCATTGGATGTGTCATAAGTGCCTGGGGCATTGTCTTTGGGGTTTTTGTTTGGTTTGGGTTTTTTTAACTTTGCAAAGTGTGCTTAGTAAGAAATCGTCAGTTCATGTGGCAGAAGTTAAAAGGGAGGCTTATAGAGGAGATCCTAGTGTTTGTTGCAGCCTATTTCTGTGTAAACTTGAGAGGCTATGACACTTTTTAGAGAGATGCAAAAATCCCATATATTGGAGTAAATTTTTATAGTAGGAATGGATTTTTACCTGAAGCCTGGAATGTTGGAGTCCATCCCTGGAAATAAACACCCTGTCTACAAGAAAAACCCAAAACAACCAAAAACCTTAGTTTTAATAGCCTATAGGTCCTATATTGTCTTTATAGGAGGAGAACAGTGGCTAGTATTGCTGGATGTCACTGCTGGGAAAAGGCCACCAGAGGCTGAAAATAATACAGAAAACTAAGAATAAATTGCATATCCTTTGTATGTTCTTTTTTTGTCTGGGCACTGGATTAACAACAATTTTGCCAACCTCTGTTGTCACCTTTCAGTATTTTCTGATAGATATCTATGAGTGAATTAGGCAGTGAAATTTTTATTCTGATCTGCATAGTGTGACTTTGTCGGCTAGTAATTAGCATGGATGCATAATATGCAGTGAGTCGGGCGGTTGGTGTTAGCTCTTCCAATATAGAAGGTGAGCTCAAGAAATTCATTAAAATTTATTTATGATATTGAGCAACATACGGCTTTGTTAACAAGCATAAAGCCAGGGCTTTTTCAAATTGTTGGTATTGCATCTCTGAGATCGTCAAGCTGGATTTCTTCTGGTACTCTTATCTCTAATAATAAAATAAAGCTCAGCACACAAAAAATCATTATCATTGGCCTTGGTCCAGCTACAGAATTTTTACTGTCAGAAACAAGACAGAAAATAACTGCTTACTTCAGTAGACATATGCAGCAGGACTTAAAATTAATAAGAACTATTCTCAATAACAAAGCAAGCAAATGTAGCTCTCTGTATGAATGTGAAGGAAGTGATCTGTTGAATAATATGTACCTTATACCTACTTTTCTGACAGCATTCACGCTTGTGTAACATTAACTGATACTTTAAAAGGTTTTGAATATGCTCTGTTTCTTACAGCTCACACTCCGGATAACAGCTTCCTTGGATTTGTGGTAGAGCAGCATCTGAATTCCAGTGACATTAAACACATTAATGACATCAAAAGGCAGAATCAATCTCTCGTTTATGGCAAAGTAGATAATTTCTGGAAGGTGAGTTTTCTATACTCATATACTTGAGCAAATTTATTTTGATCCGTATAATAAAGCATAGTATCCCTTCTCTCTAAATCTGTTAAGTTCATTTGCTGAAAATAAACATATTTAAATAATTAAATTGAGCATTCTGAAGTCTTTCTGATGAGGAAACTTCTGTCTACATTGATGTGGATCCTTTGCTATTTATGTACACCTTTCTGATAGAATAAAAAATTTTTACAGTCTTGATACCACAATAATTTTGGAAAATGCAGAAGCAGTTAGAAGTAATGGGAAATGGAAGGTATCAGAGGCTTTGTGAACTTTAATCAGTCATAAGCAAATGTGTCTTTCAACTATTTCTTTTCTTGTATCTACAACCAAAAATGTGCTGCATTTTGAACTAGAAATTGTGTTTCACTGAAGGTGCTAGGAGTGTTCAATCTCATTTCATCTCCCTGTAATAATATCAGAGGTTTTTTTCTTAAATACTGTAATTACTACATTGTCTCCCATCTGCAGATGAGAGCTGCAGAATACCACCACTGAGGTTTGGTCATATTTTCACCACGTTAATGTATGTTGTGGTGTTAAGCTCACAGTGGTCTCTGCTTTTTGTCCACTGTCCTTTTCTGGAGCTCCTTCCAGGCTGCCACACCTGGGAGTGTCTCTCTCGCGTAGTTTTCATAGAAAAGCGGTTACTTACTAACAACTGGATTTCTTCCAAGTTACCTCTAGCTCTGTGTGCCCATATACTCTGTATGCCTTCCCTCCTGTCTCAAAAGACCTTATTTTAAGCCTCTTGTCAACTGAAAAAGGAACTGATCGGTACATGCTGTGCCATACATAGGACCAAACGATACAACAGTGTGAGAGCACCCATGTCTTACTTTTTCTTTTCGTTGGCATGAGAATATCAGTCTTGCACAGTTTTCTGAACCACAGAAGCAACATTTAGTCTGATAACTCTGATTATACAGAATAAATTCTTGAAAAATGATAGCTGCAAGTAAATGGTCCATCTGTGACACAAACCAAAAACTTAAGAGAAATGGGAGAATGTTGCCAGGGTACAGCTGAATGCTTCTTGGCTACTGTGCTGAGAAAATATGTAATTAGCTGTGCGCATTCAATTGTGATGTCTCAGATTTATATTTGGGCTTATTGCACTAAGCCGTGTAATCTGTGTCTTAAAAGGAAATTTTGCTTTGCATCATAGTAAATACTGTGACAGTTGTTCTATTTGGCTCATGGTATAGAACGACTTAGTATGCCCCCATCTGCAGTCTCTTCTTCTGTCTGCAGAATGCTGGAGCAGAGCTGGGATCCTTCCATTCCAGTCTTTTCTAGCTGAGGCTCTTGTACTTTTAGTTCCTGATCTCATTATCAGTCTCTCAGGAACAGTTGCATGTAATAATCATGTATCCTTCCTGTCCTGATTCGTAGTGCGTATCAGCAGAATAACCTGTTGAATACTAGTTGGATTTCAGGAACAAGATAGTTGCTTAGTCACCACGGGTTTTTTTTCACTGACATATATCTCTTTCTTGGTTTATTCAGTCTGCATGAATTCAGAAATGTGTATTAATAGCTTATGTGCCCAGAGGGTAGATCTGTGATTGCCTAGTCTGAGATTCTGTATGACACACAGGATATTCATGGGCTGATTAAGACAAAAACATGGCTTTTTGGAAAAGAACATCCAATCTTAATTTTTCAATAGCACAGGATGGAAACCCCACTATTGCCTCTGGTAAAATCCTCGAATAATTGCCTTCTCCCTTAAGACTTTGCATTATTTCTGGTACAGATTTCCAAATCATAATTTCCAGTCTTAGTAGTAGTTATAGACTTTGTCTATCAGACTGATGTTTCTGTTCTGTTTCCCTGTAGGAATATATAGGTTGAGGTCAAAGTAACCCATAGCCATCTCCTGAAAAGCCTGTCTATGCTGAACCACTGAGAGCTTTGTGCTTTCTAATCCTTAAGTGTTCTCACGTGTCTGTTTTCTCTAAATCTTTTCAAGATTATTCACATTCCTCTTGAAATGTGAATGTTAGCAAAGGGCATGTGGGCCATACCAGCACCAAATCAAAAAGAAGTATTATATGTATTGTTAGGCATATCCCCTTTTCACCCTTAGGAACTCATGTTTAGACAACTTCTCAACAAACACTTTTGTATCATTTTTTAGAACTGCTGCTTTTCAAGTCACTGTTCCGTTTCTATAAGTATTGCCTGTCTCGTTTCTTCCAAGATGTATGACTTAATACCTGGCAATATTAAAATGCTTACTGTATGCTTGTAACATCAAGCACATTAAAACTGTAAGTTGCAGACTGTAACTGCAGTCATGCCCATATGCACTGGTACATAAAGTGCAATCACGGCACATAGGCTTTGAATTGGTGACAGTGTGGGATGTCTTATCTGGAGTGATAAAAACCAATTCTTGTGATCAATGGAAAGCCTGAACTAATCTTGTGTCTGTGTAATTTGCTTATTTCATGTTTCCTTCATTTTCCCTGTTCAGTGCTCTTTTCATCTGCCACCATGGCTTGTACAGAACCAGACTAATCTATTTATCCTGCTACTTTTCTTTATATTGAACATGGCCAATTAACACAGAGCGTAATCGCCACAGAATACACGTGTCGCTGCTGGGTCTGATCAGTCATTAGAGAAGCACAGTGTGAAAGGGAGAGCGTTCCAGTCCCCAGACTGAGGTGCTTTTGGGGAATAGCAGTTGCAAATAAATTGTTTACTTTTAAACCAAGCAGGTTGAAATGGAACTGAGGTATGCACAGGGCCTTTTTTCCCTGAGGGTGGAACTTGAATAGCTAACTGCCATCATGGTTTTACATTGTCGTGGACATGGGTCCTTTTCTGCATCAGGCTAGGCCTGTAAATAAAAAAAAAAAAAAGATGCAAAATTGCTTGTCATTTCATCTTTGCTAGAAATCCCTGGATTCCCAGCTCTGCTGCGTGGCAGGGCAGAGGCTAGCTGAGAACACCTGCTTAAACTGTGTACGCTAACCAGGTTATTGTAGCTCAAGAATTACGGATTGCTTACAGACAGTGTTCTGTCTTCCCACGTCATTCAGTGGGGCTAAACTCTGGTTTGAACATGACTAGTAACAGGAGGAGGAATACAGTGATCGCTTCTGTCAGCTCTGCTGGATACAGGAAAAAATGTCAGCCCATGGCCTGAGACCAGTGACATTCATCCCATGTTACAGTGGGGAAGTCTATGTACATCTTGCTGGAGTTCGGGAAGGATGTAAGCTGCAGAGACCATAAGAAACATCTTGTTTACTTCCCTCTGATAACTGAGTCGGTCTTAAGTGGGTTGAGGTTTATAAATCAGAGGCTCTAAAGAATTTAGCTACACTTCTAAAGATTATCCTTGGAGGTATGCTATCAAGGGCAACATTTGCCAAGTTTTGGATGCCTTTGTTGTTATCAAAGGTTTGGGTTTTTGTCTGGGATTTCTGGTGGTACAAAGGAGAGACCTATCTCTGCCTAAGTGAAAAAGAAGGAATGAGTAAAATGTGAGTGAAACCCATAATGCTGTCCATTATCAAAACTGGCTTTAATTACAGAACATTTCAATTAAAAGGGAACGTTTGAAGCCTTTCATGTTTTCTTAAGTCCAGTTGGTTACATTTAGCTTGTTTTTAATGGGAAAGTACATAACCAAGGCTGTTCTTACTAACTGCCTTTATAGCTCCATGTGACGTATGTAATTTCCCTGTCATATGCCCTCTTGCATGGAGTGGGAGGATGAAATGGGGAGAAGTCAGAGAGGAAAAATTATACTTCTAGGAATAGTTCTGTTACATGCAGAGATCAGTGTCTCGCTGCTGGCAGCATTGCCTTTCCCTTCCTTCTGATTGGTTTTTGTGCTTCATATTTGGCAACACACTTTGGCTGAACATTTAACTTCATTTTTTAAGCTAAAAGAAACATAAGGAAAGGGAGGGAAGATCCTTCTCACCTTTTCTCTCCCATGTGGTCAGTGCACTCACAAACTTGTCTCATGGTTCTTATTTTGTCTTCCACCAGATTTGCAGCAGTACTGTGGGCTTATCTATTGATCGAAACTTACCCTAGCTGCTGGCACCAGGCACCAGGAGCACTGTCCTGCTTTGTACCACGTAACAAATTGAGATGACCCAGACACTTTAGTTCAGCAACATTTCTGAAATTTACCATTTGCTTCTGAAAGAAGTATGGATCAAAAAACCAAGTAGATCGAAGCAAATGAGCAGCTGTAGGTGCAGTAAACAAGTATATGTATATGTACACTTTTGAAGTCTTATTCTTCAACATTTATTATGAAAATTAGAGTTACATTTATTATGACAAAAGAAAGAAAAAAAAATGTTTCCCATGAATATTTACCTTTCAGACAGGTCAGTAATCAGCTTCTGTTTTTGCAGAACTCTGCAGCTGCAAAGTGAATTATGAGGTCTTACAATACCAATTAATACAATCATCTACTAGTATTTGATTATCGCAAAACCAACACAGCATTTTCTGCCTGTGGTCTCGCTTCCTATTTTCTTCTGTACCCCTGCACTTCTTGGCGTCAGCACTTACAGTACACAAGTATGTCTCATTGCCAGTCCTGGAAATTTCCATTCAAAGGACAAAAAATTACTGGTTAGGTGTTAGTGTGCATTACATGACAGTGAAATTGCCAAATCTTTCGAAAACTTCAGTGTTTAAAAAAAAGAAAAAAAAAAAGAAAACTTCATGGATGAAGAACTGCAAGAAATGATGAATGAAATAGATAAAGATGAGGATAAGGAACTGAATAAGCAAGATTTCTGGCAGATCTTGAAGAACCCAAGTCTTTACTGAGATATTTTATTCATTCTTTGTGCAAAGATTGTATATGTGCAAATAAATTTTATGTATATACATGTATGTGTGCGCGCTGGTGTGTATTTTACGCAGACATATGTGGTAAGTGCCTAGCAAAGAGGCCATAAATGAACATTCAGGGAAGA